TTGACTTTTTTCTTATTGTATTTATTTGCAATTGGTGTTTTTTTTTTTTATCAGTTATTTTAATGAAATATATTTCTTTATAAGAGGTATAAAAAAATACCATCCCTACAATGAAACAGATAACAGTGATTGCATCATGCTGTGGAAAAGTCCTTTATTTTTTCAGTGGGTGGAATGAAATAAAGGGAAGTTTTTAAAGAAAAGGTGTTAGAAGCTGGAAAACACTCAAACTATTCTTCAAAATATGAACAAGTTTAAGGGTTGGAGTGCTTCTTCAAAGAAATGTATGTTTAGCTTGGTGGTATTTGGAAAAATAAATAGCCTCCACGCAGTATTTACCATTCCAGCATCAAACAACCTCCGCCTGCCATTCATAATGCTGACATTGGGCTTGTTATAAGTTACTTCACAGTCCTTGACTGTTCTCCTCACTCATGCTCCTGCTAGTCTCAAATTGCCCATGATCTGGTATGGCAAATATGCTATGTTCCTTATTTAGACTTAGGTTTTTTTAGTTATAAAAAAATAAGTGCGTGTGCTACTGTTCACAAATATTCAGGAGGGATTTCTGTAACTACTCCCGGCCTGCTGTGGTCTGTGCATCTGGCTGCTGCTCTTTTTACTGCAGTTCGGCTACAAAAGGATCAAAGTACCTGAACTGCCTTCAGGGGCGAGGAGGGATAACATATCCAGGTTTTTATTCTCAATCTGATAGACCTCTAAATGGAGCTGTTCCAAGAAGCTGCAGGGTCCATTAACAGTGGTTTTAGGTCTAATGCATCTCTGTTTATTGTGCCTCTTGTGATCACAGCAGATGCAGCTGGCAAAGTATTTCTACTCTGGCCTAAAGGAATGCAACTTATTCCACATTTCTAATAAGAAAATAGTCTCCTATATAGTATTATGTAAATGCATGGAAGTGAAAAACATATTAAACGTGTATAGTCACTAAATTTAATGCATACTGCAATACACACGTGTACAAAATTGTTGAATAAAAACC